GTGATACTTTTCTCCTGCTAAGGGATTATCCGTAGTAGCAGATCGGGAATATTTGAAATAATATTTTCACACGCATACACATAATGCTTCAATACTTGAATTTTCAAAGCAGAAAAAGTTGTAAAATAATACACATCCAGAAATAGTGTAAAATCTAATATATGTAGTCATTGAAGAATGGTATATAATACATACAGTGTCTCAAAAAGTGATGGGACACTTGTGCTTTACAAAAGGAAACTGTAATAAAATAAATTTAAAAAAACATGTAAAATTTTTTGTGGGTGTGTTTCATACTTAAATTTAGTAACAATTATTACATAACATACATTTTCTCAAAATATTAAAATATTAATTTAAAAAATACAATTGTTTAGAACGGAGCAAAAAATGGCTCACATAAGTGATGGGACACACGTACTACATAGCAACAAAAATCGTCTGAAGTAAGCAATAAAAAATATCTTTTGGGGGTTTTTATTTTTACTCAAAAGCAATTGCCAATAATTTATAAAATCGTCTGCAGTATTTCTCTCCAGTTTGTTTTGGAATTTTTGTGTTTTTTAGCTCTGTGCAGCCATGAATGCTAAACGAAAAGAAACTTTGCCTGAAATTCGAAAATTAGTTATTAATTTGCATATTGAACGTGGAAAATCTATTAGAGAAACTGCTGAAACAGTTAACTTGAGTCATTCAACAGTTTTCAATATCATTAAACGATATAAAAAGAATCATATGATTCAGGATAAAAGAAGACCTGGCCGACCATCAAAGCTATCCAATGGAATAAAGCGAATTATCGTTCGAAATATTTTTAAAAAATCCAAGAATGAGTGCTCCTAAAGTTGCTGCTGATTTACAAGCATTATATGGAGTAATTGTTAATCCTGAGACTATTAGAAGAGTAATTCGATCTGCTGGATATCACGGTAGAGCAGCCAGGAAAAAATTCTTCGTAAGTGAAAAGAATAGAAAACTCAGACTGGCTTTCGCAAAATCCAACATAAATAAGAATTCTGATTACTGGAATGAAGTTATATTTGCTGATGAGAGTAAATTTAATATATTTGGTTCTGACGGTAGAATCTTGGTGTGGAGAAAACCCAGGGAAGAATTTCGCAAACAGAACTTGGTGCCAACAGTAAAACATGGTGGAGGAGGAGTTATGGTATGGGGGTGTATGTCGTCCGCTGGAGTTGGTAATCTTGTTTTTATTGACAGTATAATGGATCAGTACAAGTATATTGACATTTTAAATCAAAATTTGAAATCTTCAGCACGAAAATTGAACCTTCATAACGATTTTAAATTCTACCAGGACAATGACCCCAAGCACACTGCTTTGAACGTTAGACTCTGGCTGCTGTATAACTGTCCTGAAATAATAAAAACACCACCACAATCTCCAGACTTAAATCCCATAGAGAATATTTGGCAAGAATTGGAATCAAGAATTCGCAAACACACCATTTCTTCAAAACAACAATTAAAATCGGTGCTTCAAGAAGAATGGGGTAAAATCACTCCCGAAATCACAAAAAAATTAGTCGAATCCATCCCAAGAAGATTAAATCATGTTTTAAAAGTAAAGGGAAATCCAACAAAATATTAAAAACCTTTTAAAAAGTAAAATTTTTGGATAAATATTTGATGGAAAAGTAAGTGTCCCATCACTTATGTGAGCCATTTTTTGCTCCGTTCTAAACAATTGTATTTTTATTAAATTAATATTTTAATATTTTGAGAAAATGTATGTTATGTAATAATTGTTACTAAATTTAAGTATGAAACACACCCACAAAAAATTTTACATGTTTTTTAAATTTATTTTATTGCAGTTTCCTTCTGTAAAGCACAAGTGTCCCATCACTTTTTTGAGACACTGTATATGAAACTGGATCGAAAAGTAATTGCCCTGCACTTTCGTCATGAATGCCCATTACTCGACTTTTAATGCTAATTTAGCAATGTAACAGAATAGATTGCTAATTTAGTAATATAATAAATTAGCAATCAGATACCAAACAAATACAAACACATTTTAATCCCGCTTTTCACCATATATTTTCCTTTTCTCCGTAGCTCCCATTCCTCACATGATATTTACTTCCATTGGCATAATGAAATGTTGCCCATATCCTTAAAGGAGCCAAGTTGGCGCAACCAAGGCTGTTTCCCGAAAAAATTCCAATTTTTCTTGCAAAAAATTTGCAGTATCTTTAATAGTTTCATCTCATTCTTAATTTCCCTTAGCTTTCATTCATTAAAAAAATATATCTAATGAAATAAACGTTGTTTTTTCTCGCTGTACTGTGAGCCCACGAACTGTGGCGTTCGTTACAAAGCCTAGAAGGTCATGACCGATGCGATTCGCACCAGTGGTGCGATTAGCCGCTTGAGCTATTCGCACCAACATTAACCACGCATGCGCATTGAGTTGTCGGGCCCGTCACTTGAACCCAAACATTTCGCGACTTTCAAAAGTTTAGAAAGCAAACTGGGTTCCTTTTCTTGTATATATAGAAAGAAGGAACACATTTCCTTTTATTAAAGTATATATAAGAAAGTGCAGATTTTTATGTTCACAATGCTTATCGTTTTCCTGAGCGGTGGGAATAGTTTCAATGACTGGTTTGCGGGGGACAAAATCTTGCTTACATTTTTGGTAATTCTTAGAATACATTTGGCTTCAAAGATATGTTTTGCATAATCAAGATTTTAATTCATTCCTCTTTGAAAATTTTCGTCTTAGAAAAGATAATAAAAATTACACAGAGGATTTCTGTCTAGAAAATTTAGACATGCAATAAGTTAAAAGAAATCAACTATTGAATGAAGAATTAATCATATAATACTGGTTATTAACAATTCTGTAAGCCTGTTTATTATTTTTATGGAAATACTTGGCATTTTCAGGACACAAAATGTACTTCAAAAAACTTTGAAATATTAGTACAAACACATTAATAAATTAAATTGAAATAAATAATGGAATCTAAAGTAAAACCAGAAATAATTTAGTGTAAGAGATTTAGATTTGAAAATTTGCATACACAAATGATTTATCAGATATTATACGGTTTTATTTCATAAATAACTTTCATTTTGAAACATGGCATTTGAATCTATAAACATGTGAGGATACTGAAAAGTGATGAATATATAAGAATATTATAACTCTGAGTAGGTTTTTTCTTATTTAATAATAAATTCTGACAGTCCTATGCTATAAGACTAGGGTCTAAGTTTGCATAAAAATTCCTCTGTTAAATAAAAGGACTTAAGTAATTTCTGTAGCCTTTTTGTCAATACATTAAAGATTTTTTCAATTAATTACACGTCCTCGCTTGCAATTAGAACCATCATTAAACCCCTAACTTATCTAATCATTTCCTGAACATTATCATGTATATAAATTTACTTCGTCATTATAACTAATAATTATTACTTGCAATTTATTCTCTTGCTGGTGAACTCTTAACAACCCTTTCTATTGCTGAGTTAGGGTTAACAAACTGCGCTCTCCCTACCGCCTAATGGTTTGGATTTGATTAATTTTTAGCTCATATGACTTGACTATCATTTCTGAAGCTGAGCAACTACTGCACAATAACACCTGCTTTAATTGGAGGAGAACGCTAAGCATCAACGCTGGAATCATTCAGCTAGCAACAGAAAAGGAGGAGAAATTTTTAATATAACTCAAAATAAAAAATTATGCCATTTATACCATTGATGAGCCTATACATTATGGCTATAATGGTTCTATTATTGACTTTTTGTATCCAAGAACCTCGTTTATATCTGCCAGATTTCTGTTATTCCAGCTCTCTCATTTGACCATAATCCCATTTTTCTTGAAAACAATTACTTACTTTCACTAGGCAGGAGTATTGGCGTCACAGACTGGAAAAAAATTCACAAAAATCATTTCAGATATCATTCCTGGAACATTACATGGTATTTCTTCCACCTTCTCAGTGTGCCTTCGTGATGTAGTGGTCAGCACTCACATCGCGTATTCGAGAAGTCCTGTTTCGAGTTCCGGCGAGCGTATTACTCATTTTTCATATCTCATGCTTCAAAAATCAATTCATAACCTAATGTTTCTACAGTGGCGCCCTAAATAAAAAGGGAGGTGGATAATAATTCTCCACCACCAGGATTTGGCGACTGGACACCCTAATCCCGGCGGTTTTCATACACAAATACCTCTGAAAAATTAGTAAATAGGTACCTCTTTTGCATTGAACTGTCCATGATGATTCATCTAACACACAAGTAGTTCGCTTGGTTCGTTTAGTCCAGTTAAAATAAATTTCATTTGCGCAGCATCTGCCTTTAATAATCTTCTGTGCATGGACGGCTGGTATGCGAAGCATTTTTCTTAGAAATGCTCGGAGCAAAACCTAGTACTGGGGGCCGATTGAAGTTTTCCACTTTATTCTTGAAATCCAAAGCAGATGAAACATTCTTCCTTGATATTGTTATTTGAACAACCGTACGCGGAACATGCAGTAGACACTGTGAGCAGTCAGAAACTGAAAATGTAAATAACATTTTAGAAATCAAACGCAAAAATTGTAAAATTATAATAGAAAAATAATAAAGGAATTAACTGTCAAGTCAAAGAAAGAATTCATAGTAAAGCAGCGAATAAAGCGCATTACGAAAATAGCAATAAAATAAAACAGTTACGAAAGTTATACTAACTAAATGAGTGAACAGTTAATTGAAGGATGGAATAACGGTTAAATATGAAATGCAGATTTGATAAGTAATTGCAAATAAACTCAATTTTCGAATTTTCAACGAATCTAACGCAACAGAACAACTTTGTTGTTCACTTTGTTGTCAAGTAACCTAGGAGATCACCGTGCACGTAATATGAATATGAGCTACTTATTTTTTTTCTGAAAATTCTCCCCGAAGGCATTTTTAAGACAAGTAGTTTTTGCGGTGTTTTTCTAAGATCAAACAAATTAACAAACTTTCAGTAACGGCCGACACGCCTCAAACCGCCCAGAATCAAATATTTATTTTATTCCAGGAGTGGCAACAGGTTCTCTTTAATTCTTTACCGGTCGGTCTTCTCTTTGTGTAATTGCTGAAGTAAGTAAATAAGTATTATTCAGGGTTTTATTTTCTTTATCTAAAGTATATTATATTTCCTAATTAATTAATGTTTTTATATTTATGAAGTAACAAGTAAATACGCTTTTTTTATTCTGAGCTTGTTTTACATCATGAGCAGATTTAACCGACATTCCTGACCGTAATAATTTCATTTAAATTGTATCGTGTTATTTCAAGTACATATTTGTGTCTGTGAAAAAAATTTGGAATTTTGTCCTATTTCTATGACTGTTTGTTTGCTTTAAATATGATGAAATAGATAGTGTATCGTGTTGGATTTTCTTTTCTTCTAAATTTTGTACCATGTGCAGTAAAAATTTAGTGAGAAATTACTGTTACAGTATTTAAAAAATTGAAATTTCAAGTATTTTGCTGGAAAAAGCACGATACATAATCTATTAATTTATTATTTATACATTTGAGTATATAAGTAATAAATTAATCAGTTCATTGCACTTTGGCAATTGTTCTGTCTTTGGCGCCTAGTTTAGGGTATTTTTTCAGTATTTTCATCTTTTCTCTTTCTATTTTTTTCCCCTGTGAAAACTGCTTAATAACTCGGTATGTTTAATGACATATTTTTTGTGTTTAAGTATCATATTAAAGAAACATTTTTTTCCCGCCTCAGTTAAGCCCCATGATATTAGGAAATGGCAGATTACGTTAGGCTTAACGTTTTGAATTTTTTCCCATTTAATTGTTTATGCGTCCGCCATCAGATTATTTTAGATCTGAACGTAATCAGTTTTTGGTGTCTCTGTTATTGGTTCACAGACATTTAATATTTTTTCTCTTAATAATAGTAAATCCTAGTGTTGACGGCACTATTATAGTATTATAGTGGAGGCCTCGTTTTAGTATTAAGCGATTAATGAATAGAGAGTCCTTCGATGAATGTTGGGTGAATAAGAAATTAATCTACATGATAAATCTAAATTTTTGCTATTCCAAGAAATTGGAGCCAGAGTTAGGTGAGAAACGTGGTTTTGTTGTTATTAAATGAATAGAATGTTGAACAAGAAGGAAAAATATGCTAGACAACAGATTAACAGATCAGTAGTTAGAGGCTTTAAATACATCTGTTATTTTATCTTTGCTTTTGCTTAATATCAAATTGCTTTATGATGTGCTTAAAATTTTTTTGTTATATTGAAATAGTGAATACTGAAAATTTTCAGAGTAAAAGTGTAGATGTTAAACCTTAAATTGAATATTCATATTGGGCAGTATTTCAGAAGCCATATTATTTTTATATATTGAATTCAAACGTTAAGGCTTCATTTTTTAAAAATCCAACTGTTTATATAAAAATATTGTTACAGTGAAAGTGTGGGAGAAAAATATTTTTCTCACTTTTGTTTTATATTTATAATCTGAATGTAAGTTGGATGTTAAGAATGTTGACAAAGTTCGGATGCCCTTAGTGTTGACATTGTATTAACTACTTTACTGAATGGTGGTAAGATTATTAAATTTGTAATTGCTTCGTTTTGTGCGTAATGTTTTCATAGTCTTCAGTTAATGATTTTTGGCATAAAGTTGAATGATTTTCTTTTTTATTAATTTGGTTGAGAAATTATTTTATAAGGGACATACTTGTTGTAGTATAATTTGTAAATTTTATTGTGTACTAGCAGAGAATATGGTCCGCTACACAAAGACAAAATAAACAAGTAAAACAATTGCACAAACTTGGTGTCCATGTACACATTGACCTATTTTCACTTAAAAAAATCACAGAATTGTACAAACTAGTCATTGTGCACTACCTTGACTTTATCCTTGTACACGTCAACATATTTTGACTTAAAAAACACGATAAATGAAACAACTTTGCGATAATACAAGGGGTATCCTTCGGTCTACTCTAACCGAGAATACATGTAAAGAGACATTATGTAGGAAGTTCCACCTTACACATATTTCTAGAAAAAATTTTGGTTAGTTTGGAATTTTATATCATCAACTACATGTTATCTAGTAATTGCATGCCTATATGTAATCTTGTTAGTTTACATGTAGGCATGGAAACATTGGTCTTCACTCATTGTTTGGTCAGATAGAAAAAGGGTAACCCTCCATAAACACTCAGGGGCTGAAAATATGATCATATCCATCAATATGTCAATCAGTTCATTGTCATTAATCACAGCAGGATTCCATGGGTGAAAAATCACATTTACGTCACACCTGCATCCTTTTGTTGAGTATTATAGTATTATATACTGCATTCCTACACTCTATAAGGGAAGGAAGGAATTGTTTATTTTATTTATTAATTTTTTTAACCAGCCATAGGTTCTGATATTAGAGCATTCCAGAAATTCGATGTCTGGGTTTCAGACTTTGTACTGTAATATCAAACTATGACAAGTAATGTATAACACGAATATTTGTAATGCATTCAAGTGCTTTAACCCCTTAAATAGTTTTCATTTTGCATTGCTAAGTAGTTGCAGTAAGAAGCAGGCTGAAAATTTTTGTCTGCTTTGAATATAACTAGTTTCCCTGCCTTGACACTGCATTTTTGATCTTTTTAAAGTAGAAAGCCTATTCTCTTAAACTGCAGCCTTACGATATTGACACTGAAATAACATTAAAAGCATCTGTTTCGAAATATTCTAAGACTGCTATAAATCGACATCAATCACCTTTAAAATGTAACTTTTAACCCTTTGCGGCATGGTGGGTCAATATATGTCCCACCTAATTTATATATATTTTCTCAGTTAGCAATTTCCGTTAGAAATTTTCTAATCTTTTAAAAATAATCTATTTTAGTTATTATTTTTCTCAGTAGATGTTACTACTATACCAGGGCTTAAGTTTATAAGCAAAAAATATTCAAAATAGGATCACAAGAGTGATATCCATGTATCTCGCATTTTTCAATATTTTAAAAATTTTGGTATACAATTTATGATATGTATGATTCTTTTTAATATTCAAAGGTATTTTATTTTCAAAAATCTTAATTGGATTCAATATTTTATAACATTAATTTTGCAGTTGAAATAAGTGAGTAAAAAATTTGTCCCACCACACACTTGAATTTCCGCTCAATAGATGGCAGCACTCACGATTATTTTTTCTTTTCTTTTTTGCATCTACTTTTTTCGTGATTGCGCGCTTTTACATCCGTTGTATGCTCTGATGTGCTAAAATGTCTAGAAAAAAATTAACAACTCAGGAAGCTTTGGATCTTTTTGCTGAATTGCCATCCGATTGCGACTCAATGCATGCTTCAGATGTCAGTTCTGATTCAGATGAAATTGAAATCCAGGAGAGAATAACTGAGGTTGAAGTTATTGCTGAAGAAGAAAGGGAAGTAGTTATAATTTGTTTCGCTTTTTAACACAGACCCATCTATGCATGTGGCTGCCATCTATGCATGTGGCACTGTAAATATGAATCGGAAGTATCTACCCAAAAATTTAAAAGACAAATTTATGTCAAGAGAATATATAGACTTTTCAGTTAGCGATGATTCAATTTATTGCATAAAATGGAAGGATAAAAGATCCGTTTCTATCCTGTCTTGCTTGGAAAAGGCAACTGAAATGAAAGAAATTAATAGAAAAGAACGAGATGGAAAGACAAAAAAAAAAAAAAGTACTGTGCCCAAACAGCATTATTTCATACAATAAGAATATGGGATATGTCGACTGATTGATCAACTGAAAGGACTATATGAAATAGACCGCAAAAGCAAGAAATGGTGGCACATGATTTTTTTTTTTTTTTTTACTTTTTAGATGCGAGTATAGTAAACACATTTATTCTATTTAAGTTTGTTCGCGAACCCGATCATGATGTAAAAACAATGAAAGATTTTCTTCTCTCAGTTATAGAAGGTCTAATGGCACTTGCAGGCAAGAAACAGCTGAAAAGAAAACTGAAATCCCCAGTTCAAATAAAAAATGAAAAACCCGTTCGTACAACCAGAAAAGAGACTAAAAAATGTAAGTCACAACGCCAAAGAGAACGAGCAGGAGAAGATGTGCATATTGCAGCACATCGAAAGAAGAACGACGAACATTTTGGATGTGTGAAACATGTGAAGTGCCTCTATGCTTACAAAAGAATGAAACAACATGTTTTTCAAATTTTCATGAAAAATGACTTTTTTTCAATTTTAATCATATATAAATGTTTTTGAATCAAGTGCCAATTTTAATATTTTATTTAGTATCATATGTACGAGTATCAAATTTTAATCTTAAAATAATATTCAAGAAAATATTTTCTTTTGTTCCTAAAATTTAAAAATATTAAATATATATATATATGCAAAATGTGCATATGCAAAATTTTACAAGTCATGCATATATGCAATAAGTACAAAATGCATTTTAGTGTGTTTATTATGAATATTTTAGAATGCACGCTTTATTTTGTTTATTCATTCCACATATGATTTTTTTTCCCTGCTATACACCAATATGCTATAAGACATGTGCTAGTTGCATGGTGGGACAAACGGTATCCCACCTTATCCCATAAAAAATAAAAGTGCAGAATTTTTTTCAAGCTTTAAAGGCACTTAAGTAAGTCCATATGACTTATTCTAAGGCATTTTTTTAAAGATTAAAATATATTTTAAATATGCGTGTCGCAAAGGGTTAATATGTACAAATATTTACAGATCATTGATCAAAACATGGTGGTTCAGTTGACTAACAAATCTGTGCTTTCATAATCAAAATCTTTTAAATAGGAACCGAAATGTTCCTAATCAACTAGTGTGCGAGGCTTCAAATATCCATCTCTCGAGTCTCGAGCTGCCGGTGGAGAGTCTCTGGAAATTCAGAAGGCACGTCACATTTCACACACGATGCTAGCGCCATCTATCAATTAATCAAAATAATATACACAGCATCCAAAGCAGAGAGAGGCAGTTTTGTTCTTCAGTAGAACTCTGAAGTTGAAAATCGGGATTACTTCTTTTGTAATGCTGGTTGCTAGCAGTCGCTTTGATGGGAGGAAGGAAAATAGACATTGCAGTGAAAACTCTTAAGTATTTACTACTAGCACATGGGCTAATCATATATTAAGTGTTTGAGGATACCGAGTATGCTTGGTAGAATCATTTTGATATTTTTCTCATTCTGAGGTAACTCGGGTGAATCAAGAAGAAAATTAATAAAAATATGGTGCTCTTCCGTTTTGCCAGCCTAAATCTCGCCAAGTAGATTTTATTGGCAACAGTATACACATAAAAAATGTTGACAAATGTTAGTTCTAAATTTTTTATTTTGAAGGCATAAACATTTTAATAACATTTTAAACTTTGTATAAAGCCAATAAGACAATAAATTTGTAAAAAGACATTAATTTAAGAATTTACTATGTTTTCTTGGTTCAACATCCTGATTCGCCGGTTCATATAACGTGACCCCTAGTGATCTCATGTAAACTGCACTACAAAAATCTAATTTTCTTGGTAATTATCTACATTAATTTCAAGTTAACTATTAATTCGAATTAAAAGTTTAAATGCAAGAATTATTTAAATTCGTACGAAAAGCTAACTCAGAAAATATGTAAAACCGCAGTGCTTTACTTCAATAGTGCATTGTCATTAAAATTGATGAATTTATAACCTTCGACTTTGACTTTTCTATATTTCGCATGAGCGGTGTGATTGCATCCTAATTGACTTAATTACCACGAGTGGCCTTAAGGCATTAAATAGAACTATCTGGGTAAAAATTCTATGTGATTGTGTACAAGTATTGAAAGAAACAATCTGATAAGAAATGGCTGCGAATTGTTTTGAAAATGAGGTGTAAAAGGTTACCAGGGAGGATATTCTGTTTGGCATCAGTTGTACCATTATTGGTGACTTTATCGCCTGTGCCAGCAAAACGGAAAAGTACAAAAAAATATTAAAGGTAGCTTATATGTTTATTTTTAAATAAGTATTTGTGTTTAATTTCAAACTTTGCTATTTTCATGTGTTATACTTTAAAGGAATTTACAGATAAAATTTTTCTGGAAAAGAAAAAATACCATAAATCTGAAATAAAATCACCATTTCTTTATTTCTGCATGTAGTGTATTAAAAACACGAATGCCATGAGGATCATCAGCGACCGGCTCTTGAGTTTGTTAGTAGTACCACTGGGGACTAGCAAAGATTAGAAACGTATAATTCGAGTACATTTTCAGTGTTTTTAAAATTTTCAGTATTATCATTGTAACTAAAATGGTGTGAAGAAATTAATGCAATATAGAACACACAAAAATAATTTGGTACTATTCCATTTTGAGGACTGTAAAAAAATTGCAGCGAACATGTATGCACAAAAGTGCCAAATCTAGCAAACGTGCCCATTTAACAGCGCGCCAAATCTAGCGTACGCTCTGATTTCAGATTCGTAAGTTTATATAGTTCTATATTTCTTAAGACACCATTGAAATACTACTTTAATTTTAAAATCTTTTTTTTGATTTTAAATCCTTTTTTGATAGCCTATGGATTTAACAATTGGGAATTGCCCGTGACAAAAAGTCAGCAATAGAATTTTCGGTAAAGTGCAGAATCACCCACTACTTGACGCGTTTTTAAGAATTGCACATACTCGGTATCCATGTACACATTGACCTATTTTCACTTAAAAATAAAAATTCCAGAATTGCATAAAAATGGCATTGTGCACACCCATGACATTATCGATGTACACATCGACCTATTTTCATTTAAAAAGTGAAAGAAAATTGACAAAATTCCAAGTTGTTTTTACCCTTGTAAAAAGCGGCAAACAAATAAGTGGGCGATTCTGCACTTTACCGAGAATTTTTTCAAAGAAAAGGCGTCATTCATTAACAACACTGCAAGCAGGTGGAAGGTGAACAAATGCACTCTCCACAGTATGTCACAACTTTTTTAAGTACATGTTTTTTTTCTTTTGCCTACATAGGTTTTTTTGAATGGTTTTGTATCACACTTTACAAAATCATTGCATGATCCTAGCCTAATGTGGTATTTTTTTTAAGTTCATGATACAGTACGAGTTGATAAGTCCATTATTTGTCTGTTGTAATTAATATTTCATCAAAATGTTTAATGAATAATGAGAAACTCATGTTAGCCATATGGACAAACCATTTAAAATTAGTGTGGCATTCAGCATGTTAAGTAGTCTATGTCTTTCTAATGAGCTAATTTTAAGTTTTTTCCAGGTTGGAAAATTTTGAGGATTGTCAATAATGGGAGCACCTGTAAGTATTTCAGTTAACTTTTGTAATTCGTACTATTATTTTATGTTTAATGAATTGTCTCATTTATTTGTCTCCTTGGCAGAGCCTGAAGAATGATCAGACCTTCATTGTTTTAAATTGGAATGGTCTAGATTTCTTCCATTTCACCTTCAGTATTGGTGCAGCACTGTTGTCAACATGCATATAACATATTTATTTGAAATAAGACTTTATTTATGATGCTTTGGGTTCTGTAATTTTATAGGGTGCTATATTTTAATGAAATTACAGAATGAGGGGAAGAACTTAAGTTATTATATTATACAATATAATTACACTATTTAATAATTAAATATACCACACTATTAATTACTGTATACATAAAATATATTATATAATAATTAACTCTAAGCTAATAAAAGCTATAACCACATGTAGCTAATAAAAGGCCATTTAAATCTTGGTATACATTCACTGTGCTTGTCGCTATTATGCCTGAAAACAAATAGAAAACAATAAATCGTTTGCTTATTTTAAGTTTTCTAAAATTCATAAATATTCCTGTTGAGATTATACTTTGGAATGTCTCATGTATATTCTCTTTATTTGTCTTGAACTGCTTTTTGCTGGAAATTAAATGTGAAAAGGACAATGACTCGAAGGATATCTTTACTATGGCTACAGGACGGCTTATACTGGAGTTTTAATGTTGGAAAAAAGATATGATAGAAAATGTGTATTATAATTAAATACAATATAAATAATTTTATTATTAAGGTTTTCTTAAATAAGCAAATTTTAAAAAATTTAAGCTATATATATATATATGGTTCTAGATGTTAAGCAAGCATTCTTGCCGATTTGTACACACACTCTGCTGAAATGATGTTTTAAGAATTTGATTAGATTAGAAAATATAATTGAAATCACCTTGTATTTATAATCAAAAAGTTCAAAATTTCTCTTTTAATGTACCTAAATTAAATAATTTTTAAGTTCAGAAAAAGCCTGACCCTTTGGCATTCAGCTAACAAGAAAGCTTCAGTGACAGGAAGATTTTAGAATTCCCCTCTTCCTTTTCAAGTGAAGAGGGGATGTCTTTGAGAGATTTGTAACACCTTTATAGAGCTCGCAATTGATGCCAAACAGCATAATTTAGTGCCAGTAATGCATAAGAATAAGGTCACAACACAATCATAAAAAGTTCGTTGTGTTTAAACTTAATTTAATCTCGATAAGTTGGTTTAATTTTTGTAAAGATATTTCTATTTTTCCTTCGCATTTTGAAAAAATGATTAATATTTGACATAGCAGGAAGTGGATTATTTTCAAAGTTACAGGATACAGTCATAAAAAATGTCACGATACAGGACTATGAAAACAAATTAAAAAAGGCGATGGTAAGCTATTTCATATTTTAATATGGTATGTCCATAATTTGTGTCTCATTATTATTGAACTAAATAAAAAACAATCTATTCATTTAAACATTTGCCAGAAAGATTGGCAACATTTCTGCTGAATTTCACAATCAGATCAGGCATTTTACTTCCATGCTTTGTATTGTGCTGCCTGTCACAGACTAATGGCAGTCATGTCTAGTCTGGCATAGGATTTAAAAAAAAAAAAAAAAAAAACTTTCATGCAAAGTCATATGAAATATTCCACTTTTATGCCTGAAATGCATTTCTTTTCTCAAACTTTTATATTATTTTAAAGCAAGCTCTTGATGTGCCAGTTGGTAACAAATAAGATAATTATTTTTATAACTTTAGAACAGAAATTTTTCAAATTCATTGGCTTTTCTAATGTGAACTCTATATTTTACATGTTTGACTTTCTGGATAGTCCAGCTTTTATGTACTTAAAGTAGTCAGTATAGAGGGGTAAAGAGTATTTAATGTCTGAAAATTATGTATTGCATGTAAAGTTGGCACAACTGCACCGGGCAACAAAACTTACAGAATTAAGGAAGACTCCTGAAGTGGCAGAATTTATAAGCCAGTGTGATTGTACCATGTGGCAAAATGTTTAGTGCCGGCCCTGATATGTTGCTAAATAAGAAAAGGACTTTATCTTATCTGTTATTGAAGTAAAGTTGAATGAAGCTTTTAAAGTAAATTAATATATGATAAGAGTTTTCTAATATAATGAAGATTGTTAGTTAAAATAAGGCATTGTTCTCAAACTAAAATAATCATTAAATTTGAAATATGTAAAATGTTAAATGCAATTTTTATTCTCACAAGTTGGCAGGTATTTTAATGGCTAAAAATCCATTCTCTGTACATTCTCTGTACCTTTAATAACTTAACTTTAATAACATTCTCTGTACCTGTCTTTGCCTTTTCCATGCCATGAATTTTTCAAATAAAGAGGCAAAAAATTACTCTCTAGCCAAGTCCCTGTTTTTAATCTAACATTTTGCTGTTAATATTACATTTATGTCATTCATTTTCTGTCATGTACAATTTCATTGTATGGGAACTAAAACCTTTCTGATTTTTTGAAAAAATACCATATGCCTGGAAATAATGGATTCTTTTTGTTTAATTTTTTGGTAAATCTAGTAAACGTTTGATGCAAAATGAATAAAAATTAAATTGTTCTGAGTGCTTTTTGCTGAAAAAGCGTAACCCCCTGAAATGTTGCAATGCAGAAACTGCTCTATCTCTGACAGTTTGAAATGGATGCTGAAATAAAATAAAAAACCATCTGCACTTTTAGCTCACCCTGAAAACTGAACATGGTTGAAAAAATCTGAAAGGGTTCTAATTTTTGCAATTGTCCAAAAAAGGTTTAAATGGTTTATCAGTAGAGGTTTATTGGTAGAGTTGGCTGGGTTGAAATAAACATTTTATTTGATATTAGATGAATATGTGTAGACCAACATGGGAATGTTTTAAGTGTTCTCTATATATTTAAAAAAGGGAAAAAATATGTAATTCTATAAAAGTATTTCATGTTTTTGTACCTGCCAACAATTTTTTTTTTTTTAATCGTAAACAGTTTCTAGTTATATGAATAATTCATAGATTTTGAATACACAAATCATGTGGCAAATAATCACCACCTGCTATGCACTAAAAAACATGGCAAGTGCATAACAGAAAAAAATGCTATGCTTGCCAATTTAAATTTTAATTAATTAAAATTTGTTTTAACTATTTATATACATCTGGGGACAAATTCATTTTTCGATTCACTTCCCTCGTACAATTCATTTCTTTCAAATTTGTTGGTTTTTGTGTTCAGATTTTGTATTTTATCTCAATAGATTTGAAAATTTGTGATTTACTGAGCAATGATCAATTACATTCTTTCTTTCAAGCATCAATTACATTCTTTCCTTCAAGATAAAGGTCTATGCATAACAAAAGGCTGTTCAAATAAGCATACCATGAAAGTTGAAATATTTGCCGAATGCTAAATAATTTTGCTATCTTTGGTCATACAGAGAAGAGAAAGGCATCTGAAAAGGAACATGGTTTGAAAACTCGCATATCCCATTTCTCAGCAGTCTATGATCTACTTATTTGATGGAAATAGCTGATCTCCATTGATTTTTGTGAATGGCAGCATGGATGAAATTGCAGCATGTCAGCAGACTGGAACAGTTACGTCCGAGAGCTTTGTTGCAATTCTTTGATGTCTCATCCTAAAACTAAGATTGCTTGTACTGACAATATCATCGAAATCGACAAAAGTTTATTTACAAAATGGAAACATAATATGGTTCATGCATTACCTCTACAGTAGGTTTTTCAAAGGTTTATGTCAAGAAACACGAGAATGCTTTATCGTCGCTGTTCCAAATCGCTCTGCTAAGACTGTAATGTGTGTGTGAGAGAGAATAATATAGCAGATGGAACAGCAAATATCGTTGGATTGCTGGAAAGGTTACAAATCATCATCCGAGTTGAAAGTTACAGGATATGGTCTCTTTACAGTAAATCAGTCATTTAATTTTGTAATCATTTGTTAAATTTATTTAGTAATTAAGAATTCTTTGTAATAATAAATTGCAGTCTATAAACTATTCTAATATCTAGAAATTGTATACGGTTAAAAATGCTGGCAGAATGTGTGGCAGGCACATACCAGGAAAGTGCCAATGTTTTTTAATTAGGTATATCATGAATTAAATGTATTTTTATTTAAATTGGCAGTTAAAAAATATTCCTAGGGATTGCATCTACTGTTTTTAAATAGTTTAATTTATTAATTAATAACCAACAGATTAAGTATGAAAGAATAATATCTATGTTTTTCCTAATGGCAGCAGACATGAACAAAAAGTGAAACAATGCTTTTTGAAACTAATAACCCTTTAGGTTAAAAGAAAAAATCCTATCTCCCTACAAAGTCAGAACAGTTTCCGATATGCAGGTGTTTTCAGGAAAGAAAATCGTGGGTTATATTGGTGGCATGTAGGTAGGTACCCATTAATGTTTTGATGTTCATCAATGTGTGCAAATGAACACAGCTCGCTTTACAAATTTATGACTGACAGATATTGCATGTATTTGGGAAGAAAGATTAGCTTTATCTTGCAAATCCTGAAGGGTTAATAACCAAGTGCCCCATTTGTTTTGAAATTTAAATCTGAATTGTGTCATATCAGATCTGGGTTTGTTATTAATGATTCAAAGATTTTTTCTTTCTCCCCCCCCTTTTTGTACGAAGTAAAGGAAGTATTGTAATCCCGAAAAATTTTGGCTGTTATATTTCAAAGGAAATATCTGTTTTGACCACTCTCAAACCCATTTGGCTCTTTTTTTTTCCCCTCCTTGTAACGTTGTATATACAGACAGAATAAAGGACTGTAAAATGAATTTTTTTGTAATGCTCATATGCACATACGTATCTCACATAACTCTAAAATATTTAGCGATGCAATATTTAAATTGCATCGCTAATTATCGTGTTTGGGATTGCTATCTAGCTGTTCACTATTTTTTTTTAATTGCAGTTTGCAGTACCAAAAGTATATTAATATATACCCTCTACCTGGTCTTTATTTTTTCAATCGCTGGTCGTAGTCATATACTTCAGTTATGCAAGTGTTTTAAATTATGAAAATCATGTTTTGGCAATTTCAGATTAAAAAAAAAAAGAGGCTTTATTATTTTATTTTATTTTATTTTTATAATAGTTTTGTATTAAAACAGTTATCCTAGTATATTAAAATGTGAGGTAATAAGAGGAATTATCTTCTCTATATCTGGTCATTTTTTCTGCTTCCTAAAGCGCACAAAATTGTTTGTCGGACATTTACCTGATGGATGTACTAACGATGAACTTCAGGCTCTTTTTGAGAAGTACGGAACGGTTAAAGAATGTGATGTGATTAATAAATATGGATTTGTGGTGAGTATTTACTGGTATTATTTCAGTATTTATGAATTTTTAAATTTTTAAGGCACTTTAATTAATGTTAAAATTTTAGTAATTTTTAAAGTTATTGAAAGCATTTTTAATTTGTTTTTAGGGTTTTTTTGGGGGGTAAATGTAATGTGTAAACCTGAAAGTTTATGTAATTTAATTAATTTGCATTTTGTGATTGTACTTAATTCCTTTTCAGTGTTTAATTCATTTTCTAGAAATTTCTGACCAAGAACCATATTGGCTGCTTGTGAATTTATATGGGGAAAATTAATTTTGTTTCTGCGAATTTTCTTTGAAATAAATGTTTTATTTTGAAGTTGCTTAAATTTTATGAACAATTCTCTCCAATAAGCTTTTTTTTTAACTAAACTGCATTAGATTCAGAACAGATTTTAACCATGCAGGCCCATTGTAAACGGGCATTTATTTATTTAAATGGGCTGTTTGTTACAATACATTGCTTCCATGTTCCTTTGAAATTATTGAGAAACTGATAGTATTCCCTCTGTTTCCCTTACATCAGGTCTGAATAGCTTTTGCATACCCCTAAAGTCTAGTTAATTATGATTGGCTCTTACCTTAATGGCAGTTAATTGTCTTTTTCTTTTTGAATTTTTAAACCAAAGCTGACTAAGCATCCCAAAGACAGACTTTTAGCCATCACACAGAATTCATGTTAAATTTGCTTATATCTGCATTAGTTAAAGAACATAAAAGATATTTTATTCAGTAGTAGTTTTTATTTAAATTGTCTCATGAATTAGATGTTATACTCTACCTTTTAAATGTGAAGAACAAAAAAATAACACTCATTGTGGTCAGTAGTAAATTTTATAATATTTTGTGAACTTGATGTGTGTTGTTATTTTCATATTTTCATTTGTATAGTTATATGACAGTATATAATATTCTGGGTTCTTTTTGGTAATTTTGAATGAACAAAAATATTGATTGTGTTTGGTAGTAAGTTTTATTTATAACATTTTGTGAACTTGATGTACATTGTCACTTTCATTTGTATAATTATACGATAGTGTGTAATATTCTGGTTCTTTGTAATGTTTTTAAAATTATTTTTCTAAAAGTCTGTATATTATAATTTGTCTGTGTATCATTAATTATTTTTATTTGCTGTAGCACATGAGCACACCTGAAGAAGCCCAAGATGCAATAAAAGCTCTTAATAATTACACTTTTAGAGGTTCATCTTTGAGTGTGGAGGTAAATATTTTAACAATTTCTAAACATTTTTGCATGGTAAATGGTAAAAAGCAAAATCTGTTATTTTTGTTTATTTATTATTGTGTGCTTGTACTTTTCCCCCTTGCTCTTATCAAAGAGTTAATGTAAAATAACTGAGACATTATTAATGTATGTATCTGCATACTTTAATAATGTGTGCTATTTTACATTAACTCTTTGATAATAGTCTGAAATCCTGACTTGTCAGGACTTCGGTGGTTCCGAATTTTAGATTATCAATTTAAATCTTGGTAGATAACATAGAAACTGCAAAATTAAAAATATTAAATGGTTGTTTATGAAATAATGAAGCATTTATGACCTCAAGAGGATCAAAATTCAACAAAAAATGTAATATTTAATGAATTTTTATATTAAAAATTTCTTTCGATGTAGTTGTTTAAGCTGCTTCATTTCTGGGGTTTGGTACATTCTCTAATTCTATTTAATTTTAGAGATATACATAATTTTACGAAGTTTCATTGTTCACGTCCTGAATTTATTTTGTTGAAAATTTCTACTTAATTATCAGTTAAAACCTTTCCATTCTCAAAAATCTTTTTGTCACTTTCTTCACAATTGCTAGCAATATTTTTTTTTATCTAAAATGATATGACATATTTAGTTAATTTCTGCTTTCGGTATTGTCACAATGGAAAACTTATAATCTTTATTTATTATCACTTCTCCACACTTTTTAACAAATTCCACTAATTGGAAAATTAAACCTTATATAGCTTTCAAAATCAACATCAGAATAAGGTTATTTTTTCTCTAATTTTGAAATGGTTTCACTATGCAGATCCTGCTACAGCTCCAGAATTGGGAACTTTTTTCGACATAAAATTCAAACTTTAATTTTGATGAGATTGTTCCAATAATTAGAGCCTGCAAAAAAGGGGGGGAGATGCAGTGTGCTACGTAAAACTTTTCAAGACTAACAGGACAATGAGTCCCACAGTTTAATTGAAAAAATCCGGGTTAAAACTGAAATTCAAATGGTGGTTTCTGTGCTTCTTCTTCTCTCTCTCTCTCTCTTTTTTTTTTTTTTTTTTTTTTTTTTTTTTTTTTTTTTTTTAAGTGGATATAGGACATCCAGGTTTGACTTTTATACTGTAGTAGTAAAAAGTAAAACTTTTTTTTTTTTTTTTTTGGTTTTGTGCGTCTAGAAAAATTATATCATATGATGCAAAGACAGGGGGTTCATATTATTTGTACCCTGATGGTAGAATTTCCATGTTTTTTGGTTTATTTTCAAATACATGTGACAACAGCCAATCTGCATATGTGAGTATACAGAAGAGTGAGGCATTGGTGAAAGACTGAGCAAAAAGACTGGTTATAAAAATGTAAATGTTGGTCATGTCCGATTTTTATTTCTAATAAAATTTCATGTTTCTTATAAAAAGCCAGCACAAAGATGTGAATAAGTTTACAACTTTTTGTGGGTGTGCAGATAATTAAAAAGTTCTAAATTTTCTAAGTATGTATAATTGTAAGTTGGTACTTAAAAGTGGTTATGTTTCAAAATTATCAAACTTAATTGCCTAATAATCTCTGGCTGCAAATTTTAAATGCTCTTAAAAGATTTTATGTAGTGACACTCTAATAAACACATCAATTCTGATTTTGGCCTTTTTAATAATTATATGTGTTTTGGAAAAGCCAAATTAATGATTAAGAAAAAAGAAATAAAAATAAATCTAAATATCAGATTATGGCTGTAACCATTTAAATTTATTAAATGCACTTTTTATTCACTCTGATGATATGGAAAAAAATTTTTAAATGGTTAAATTATAGATTCTGGATTTCAAATAAATTCTGATAATTTTGTTTTATTCTTAATGATTAAAAAAATCTGTGCATTTTTTAGTGACTAATTTTGATAATGATGTGCCAAGAATATGAATTACAAGTACCATGTGAATATGTCTGAAACAAAAGTTTAAATCGTTAAAGTTAAAAATTCCGAGACGTCTTTCTTTGCTTTCCCAATCTTTATAGGCTGTATTAACCTCTTTGCACCCATTGTTAACAAAATGATGTTCTCCAATGCGCCTGTGATTTTGAAGTGCTAAACACCACTGTAAGCTGGAGCACATTTTGAAATTAAACCTAAAATACAAAAGTAATTCCTATAAAATCTGCTTTCTATCAAAACGTTCAGATTCTTAGAATATTGGGTATTCACAAAAAGCTTCCCGCAACCGTAAATATCATACATGCAACCAGTTCACGTTGGAATGTTTAGTCATGTTTTGTCGAATGATTTTTGGCATATGAAAGAAATAGACCTGCTTTAGAACATTGTGTTGTGAAATTTGTAAAAAATCGTATTGTCATCATTAAGTTCAAGGTGTCTGAAATGGAACTATCATGCTACCAGATTAAAACGATCATTTACTTCAGTTCTGTTGCAAAAAGTCAGCTACAGAATGTCACCAAATCATGTGTGTAGCTTTAGGTACTAATGTTGTATCATATGACACTATGAAGGTTTAATTCCGAAAGTTTAAAAACAGGAACTGGGACATTCAAGAAACACATCATTCTGCCCGCCTGTGAGGACTTGTGGAACTAGATCAGTGTGCAACCACTCGAGTGCTATGTACAAATGTATCGTATGATATGCTAGGAACAAAGAGGTTCAGAAACCAAAATTTTTTTAGATGTTATTTTTTAAGATACTTAAAATGAAGTTTTAATATCTTTTTTTATTTTGTTCATTTAAAACGGGTAGTTAGTTATGATTTGGTGTATTTCACTTCTTAAATAATGCTTGTACTTTGATGAATACTTGTGACATAGTTGCCATCTCTTCCTATCTTTAATTTTTGGCTTTTACTTAAGGAAAATCTTTTCCAGGAGTAAACTGAATTTATCAAATGAATGAAACTTAAACTGAGCAAAGTCTGTTCCACCATCCCTGGTGATTTTCAGAGTAAATTTCGTTTTTAAATTTTATTTCACGTGAACTGTACTTTTTTTCATATTAAATTTTATTGACCTTTTATTTATTCAAATTGTCTTAATCTAGTGCTGACCATTTGTAGATTTTTATACAGAGGTTCAAATAATGTTTAATAAGTTCATATTTGTATTTATACTATCCATTATATGGTACATTACTAAGTTTATACAGATAAATATAATTTACATTAATTATTAATTCTATTTTCATTGTATTTAAAAGTACTTCGATAAATAAAAGTTTTCTTTCCTGTTCGGGATTTTCTTAAGGTGAAAGTTTAAGAAAATTACAGAGTAAAAATAGCCGAAAACCATAGCATTTAGAATATCTAATTGAATGCAAATATAATTTACAACAGAATTATATTACAAATAGTTCTGTAACCTGAATCTTATGCATTGCCTGGAGTTCCTTTCTAATGCAGGGTTCATAGCGGTCCTTACAAGTGCTTATAAGTCCTTATATTTGAACATAGAATATAAAGGCCCTTATAGGTGCTTACTTTTTCTTTAAAGCCCTTATTTTTTTTGCTTTTAGTGCTTTTTTTCTCTCTTTTTTTTTCTCTCTCTCTTCTTTTTTTTAACGCAAACGTGCATTTTTCCCCCTGTACCAAATCCGAAACTAAATAAACAACTTTTCTTTCTTGTATGCAATGTCAGATGGTGAATCATGCTCCCCAAAATTGCTTTTCCCCCCTTTCTCTGCATTAACGTAACCTATGGTGCGCGTGAGAGTACAGACAGGTGCACGTCGTTTTATTGGTCAAAGAATTGCGAAAACGGTAGAAAATTCCGGTACCTTCAGTATTCTTTTCTTCTCACCCAAATATTATACATGTTTGAATTTCTATCAAGATTTTAATAATTTGCATTCTCGTTTCACGTGGGCAGTTCATATTTCGCGTGGGCATTATTATGATAGTTATGCTTATATTATGAGCATATGCATGAATATTTATAATAATATAGTTGCAGTAACTGCTGAAGTATAGATAAACTTCCAAAAATGGGTGTGTTTTTATACAGATTAGATTTCTAAGAAATAATATGCGGAATAGCTTAAATAAAAGGAAAGTAATCAAATAGTCAAAATAATTTCATCCCCTTTCCCAATACATTATGCAGTCCGAGGTTGGGAGGTTCTCCCCTTTCTCCGCAAAATCTCTAATATTGAAGCAGCGAACTTTTTTTTTTTATCACTGTCCAATCTGGATTGAATAGGACTAAAAGTTTTTGCGGTCTACCCAACCCAAGCGAAGATTGATTCTATTTTGGAAATTTAACGCAGTCTGTTGAAAATTAGAATCGGAAACACCCCAGATTAGTAAGTCTCTTTCTTTTCCTTTCTTTATTCTCCGAATACCAGCAGCTGGTGATTCCGATTTTGTAATATCACATGTGGAAGAATTACGCCGCACGTATTGCTCAATAATGTTTGCAGGGTTGCCACGCTACCTGGAAAACCGGAAGAACCAGGAAAAGTCAGGGAATTCGAAAATTGACCAAAATATTCAGGGAAAAGTCAGGGAATTTAAGTACTTTTGTCAAAATCTGGAAAAGTCAGGGAAGTTCATACAACGATCCCGCCAAAAAAAGCGATTTTTGCGCCGACGTCGGAAGAGGTAACTTTTTTGGCGAATTATGTATCACATGAGTGTCATTCGGGTAGCTGGCATAGAGCCAATTTTCGCAGCTCCAATTTGATTGTCTTTTAGAAAGGCAAAGCAACTTTCCCGCAACCTTTGGTTTCCAATAACCTTGAGAATCGAGAAATCGCATGTGCAGTGCATGTTGAACTAAAGAAAGTACCTGTTCTCGTATAAAACAAAATGGGTTTAATCCTAGTATAACGGTACCAATGGAGGTTAGAATCAAAGAATATGTATTGTAAAGAAGGAAAACCTCTCTGCAACAGACGTGGCTGTGGCTCCGTTCCATCATAGGAGGGAAAACAGCTGTGCATGTCTGATATATCTGTCGCCAAAGCTCGAAACCGGTGTCGAAGT